TCGCCAGCATTATCAATAAACATTTGCGAGTAACGTATTAAATTTTCTTGTATTTTTTCAACTTCATTCTCTTGCATTTGCAGATCTTCTTGTTCTAAGTTTAACAGTGACTCTAATTTTTCAATATCATGCGTAAGATTATCAATATAATCCATTAAATTACCAGTTTTCACGTTAAATTCATGTTTCTTTCTATCAAATTCAATTAAATTATCACTGTACACATCTTTTACCTTTTGATACTTTTCTTCTTCTTCACAACATGTTTTCAGTAATATAGCATGTTCCTTGTGAAGCTTAAGCGTTTTAACTCTTATATCATTAAGTGATAAATTTCTAATTTCTTCCGGAATATTATTAGAAGAATTCAAAGTTTTGCACTTTAAGTCAGGTTCTAAGTCATAAAGCTCTTTCAATGTCGCATTCAAAATATTTATTTCATTTTCCAAAGATTTCATATAAATTTTATTCTTCTTATAAATATTGCATCTGGCTTTTAAATCAGCAACGTATTTTTTAAATGTTTGCCCTCTAAGTATTTCCCCGCCTAATATTTGACTCAATTCATCAATTTTGTTTAAAACCTGTTCATTGTTCAATCGAATTTTAAGAATTTGTTTAGACAATAATGATTTCTTCTTTAATAATATACGCTGCTGATTTTGCATCGCATTTATGGCATCATCTTGATCTTTAGTTTTGTGAAGTTCATTCACAGTGTGTTTTAAAGTTTCTTGATATTCTTCAAGCTGTTGTAAGTCATCATCACTTGGCTCCGTTGCCACTTTCTCAAATATTTTTAAATCAGCGTTTATTTCATTGAGAGACATTACATATACTTGTTGCGCATCTGTATAATACTCAGATTTTTCAATTAATTCTTCAAGAGAAGATATTTTATCACGGCGGTTATAATTTCTAATCGTGTCGATTCGTTCTTGAACTATTGCATTGTCTTCTTCAAATTGTTTACTTAGTTTAGCGAATTTCTTTCTTTGTTTTAGCAATTCCCAAGTTTCTTGCAGTAAATTTTCTGACAATTCTGCCTTTTTGCACTGCGCATCTATTCGTTTCTCCAAGTTGCTTAACTCAATTTTCATTTGGTAAATATCATCTTCTAACTCTTTAGTTTCTTTAGCAAAAACAGCTTCTTTCTTGTTTTCGGAATATTTCAGCCAAAATGTTTCGATTGTATCCTCATATACTTTATACATATTTTGCAATTTCAAATCATCACAGAAAATGTTTTGCGGTACTTCTATTTTTGTAACGTATTTTGAAAAATAAAATCTTTTTCGTATATTTGCTTCATTTTGGAGTAAAAAGGTTAATATTGGATAAATAATTTCTTTTGAAGCCGCAACTAATCC